ATGAACATAATTACAATAACGAGTATGAAAGATTAGAACGCCGAGGACGTAGACTGAGTCGTTCTAATCGCACGAGTTTTGTAGTCATGTTTAAACGCACGTGTGATGTACAATGTTTTATCTACAAAGCGAAAAATAGGAATATTTTTTCAATCATTTTCGTTTATTAGTGGTTGTCTACCTTCATTTTACCTTTACAGGTTTAACTTTGACATTTATCAGATCGCCAAAAATAGTTGTGTATTGAATTCATTGACCACTAGTGGTGTTATGAATTCATAACCCAGTCCATAACACCACTGTTCTGTTATGAGTCTCATGACATAACTCAAATACTCGAAAAATGGTTATGTAAAAACGTCATAACCAAAACCTTGTAAAGTCTGTTTTTTTTTTAAAGATAAAAGTCAAAATGACATTATGTTGGCAATACAATGTAAAATTGTCAATGCTTTCAAATTTTTCATGTAGAAAAGGCTTGTGTTGCCAACATAGTTACTAAATTTTTGACTTGGGGAATTATGTTTAAAAAAAAACAGATTTTAGATAAATTATTTTTTCTACAACTGTCAAAAAATGATGACGTTCGCACACTCATGACAGTTTGCAAAGTGACACTTTTTTTCCCAGGTATTTATTTTTTAACGTTCCCATAACGCCGTGCGCGAACTAGCTATTTCGCACCCTAGTGCGCGAAATAGCTAGCTCGCACACTGGTGTCATGGTGACACATACCTGTCAGGAAACCAAAAATAATTAAAATTCACCTACCTTTGATTGAGAATGCAATTTTGGCTTCTTATGATCGATATTTAAATGGAGTTGTAGAAAAAATATTGTTTGCAACTCAGGCGCGAAATACTTTGGTGATCTCGACTATTTTTGGCTGCGCCTCGTTAAAAAAATCAGATCTCGATCACCAAAGTAGCATTTCGCGCACTAGATACAAAAATAACTATTATGTCCGATTGACCAATAAAGTGCTATTTATAGAACAGTTTTGCATGGATAAAGTAGCACTTTATTTTACTGTAAGATAAAGTGCTACTTTATTTCGGTGCGACCGAAATGCAGTCAAAACCTATTGAGTTGAAAAATCCACACCCGAAATGCGGTCAAAATTTTGTCTTTACCTGAAGACCTATTCGAGGAAATTCTGAATTGCGGTTTTTTTTTCACAAAACTGGTTCATTTACAAAATCATTCCAAACTTATAAGATACACATTTGATAAAATTAAAACGAGAAATATCACCATTATTTAATTGTATTATTTTTTCTTCAATTAATTATTTTCTTTGTAGAATTTCTTTTCACATAAACCTTGGCTCATTTCTTTTCAATGAGTTCATTTTTATGTACGAGTCTGTCAATTACAATTTTTAGAATAGAGTGAATATTAGGGCGAGGATTTATTGACAGCGTTAAATTTTGAGTGGAAAGATTCGCATGAGCTTGTCCTTGCTAAACTGGAAACGCGGGCTGCCTAGATAACTGGTGGAAATAAATATGGCATCAATATCAATATAGTTGTTCACAAGATAATCCACTAGTTCATTTACTCTCTGGTCTTCGGGTTTAACAGATATCAAGTCCTCAACTAGAGCGTCCCCCACTTCTTCCGGGCTTAAAAATGACAAGCCTAACAAATACCTCAGCCATTTTGCAACAGGAGAGTCATCTGAATTTTTGTATTTTTTAGTCAAACCTAAAGTTTGAATTTTCCTCCACCAAGCTTGGCTTAGATGAAAACGGCAGCCAATAATGTTGGCGTTTTGGAAAAACGTTTTTTACCGAGCGGGATTTCAGTAGTGGAACTGTGTACACTAAATTACCATTTCTGACAGAAATTACCACAAATTACCAGTAATTACCTCTAAATTACCACTTTTTTCCTGTATTACCTTTCATTGCCTCAGGAATTACCACTCAATGCCACTCAAATTACCACTTATTGCCTCTTATTTCCGCTAAATACCACTAATTACCACTGTCAATACCACTAATTACCACTGTCATTACCATTAATTGCCACTGAAATTACCACTAAATACCAGGAATTTTTTTCAATTTTCAAGTATACCCAAGACTAGAACTCAATAACAAATCGAGATGTTAAAAGAAGAGCAAATCAAGATTTTGAAAGTTGAAAAAACGAGATACTCAGGAAGGCATTCTAACATGTCTCGAAGAAAAAAGGATTCCAAAATCCTGTAAAAACTCAAGTTTCATCTTCTAGAAACTGGTTAAAAATCATTTGATTCATGATGAACGAACAAATGATGTTAAAAGAAGAGCAAATCAAGATGTTGAAAGTTGAAAAAGAGAAACACTCAAGGAGGCATTTAGGCATTTCAACATGCCTCGAAGAAAAAAGGATTTCAACATTCTGCAAAACTCAAGTTCCATCTTCTAGAATCTAGATAAAAATCATTTGATTGATTTTGAAGGAACAAATCGAGATGTTAAATGAAAAGCAAATCAAGATGTTGAAAGTTAAAAAAGACAGACACGCAAGGAGGCATTCCAACATGTCTCGAAGAAATAAGGATTCCAAAATCCTGCAAAAACTCAAGTTCCATCTTCAAGAAATTGAATAATAACATTTAATTGATGTTGAAGGAGCAAATCGAGATGTTACAAGAAAAGCAAATCAAAATTTTGAAAGTTGAAAAAGAGAAACACTCGAGGCGGCATTTCAACATGTCTCGAAGAAAAAAGGATTCCAAAATCCTGGAAAATTCAAGTTCAATTTTCTAGAAACAGAATAAAAATCATTTGATTGATGTTGAAGGAACAAATCGAAATGTTAGAGAAACAACAAATCAATATGTTAAAAGTTGAAAAAGGCAGACACTCGGGGAGGTATTCCAACATGTCTCGAAAAAAAAGGATTCCAAAGTCCTGCAAAAACTGAAGTTTCATTTTTTAGAAATTGGATAAAAATTATTTGATCGATGATGAACGAACAAATCGAGATGTTGAAGGAAGAGCAAATTAAGATGTTGAAAGTTGAAAAAGAGAAACACTCAAGGAGGCATTTCAACATGTCTCGAAGAAAAAAGGATTCCAAAATCCTGCAAAACTCAAGTTCCATCTTCTAGAAACTGGATAAAAATCATTTGATTCATGTTAAAGGAACAAACCGAGTTCACCATCAGCGACTTTAGAACATTCTGACTCTATTTCGGATTCCATCTAGAAGACGAAAATATGAAAAAATACGAAATTTCACACGCCTTTGCAGTTCCTCACAAATATTTGCGTATTTGGCATCCATCTAGGATAGGTGAAAATCTAGAAAATAGACCTATCTATTTTTACCTGGTATGCGCGCGCAACACGAGGCAATGCTTTTCTATTGGCTAACTAGTACAGGTGAGAGGTGTTTTACACGCTGGGCATCTCTTTGTCCTTGTTCATTGCCCGTGGTCTGACAAGAATAAAAGTACGATTGATATTCAACTTGACATAGCTTGACAAGTGACATTCAAAAGTTTTTTGAAATTTTCATTGACAAATACATTGCTCAACACGCGGTTTTCTCCTTCCTTTTTATCCCGTGCAAATAAGAAGAACGGATTGCTATATTTAAGTCTAACATAATTTGGTACATTTTGCCTCGTCTTGCGCAATGAGCGTTCTGTGTATTTTTTTTTCTAATGAAGTTTTCGTATTATTACCTCTTTGTCTGGTAAAATAGATAGGTCTATTGAAACTAGCGAAACGGAGAGACGGAAACACATAAACACTTAATAAATCCGGTTATATCGTCTATGGTGACTTTGTGGTTTCGTCTGCGGAGGAAAAACGATCCATATTTTAAAATGGCAACCATTCAAGTAATCAACTACCTGTTTTGCTAACATGTGTCCTTGACCGCTATCAAATGTCACGCGTGTACTTTCTCAAGCACAAAACGGATAACCCTATATTTGTAACTATTTGCCGAATGTGTGAATCGTGTGATAGAGGCTTAAGGTATTATAATAATATCTATAACAAGAATGCACTCTATCTACCACATTTACCTTTTCTTTTAGATTTAGAAACACCACTAAAACAAAACTAGGCCTCAAATAAGACGAGGACTTGAAAGTTTTAAAATTGGCAGTAAAAATGACGTTCATAGATGATGTCAAACCAAGTGTTGAACAATTGCAAAGTTGCTACTTCTTATGTAATGAAACCTCAAATGGAACATTCCTTAGAAAATGAAAGTTGATGTTTCTAACTGACTAATAGGGACTCAGAAGAATATTTTACTTAAATCTTAGTTGAATAGTTTACAGTTGAAGCTCTGTTACTTCTAAAATAGCAAATTCGAAGGTATATCATAAATTTATCATGACAGAACTTTGAGGTATTACCACAAAATTTCCTTTAATTACCCCCAAAATTGCCCTAAATTACCACAAATTACCAAAAATTACCCCGAATTACCACTATCTTTCCACTAATTACCACTAAATGCCACTGTATTTCCCTAATTTCCACTCATTACCATTCATTTCCCGTAAAATTTCCACTAATTACCACGATTGTGTACACTAAATTACCACAATGAAATCCCCCTCGTTTTTTACACTTAAATGAATTGCGAGTTCAAAATTCATAACAATTGTGCGTGGATCAAAATAATGTCCCATCTCACTGCTTTTTTCTCTTAATTGAATTAGAACAGCTTCGTATGTGCTTTTGAGTTTGTTTTTTAAAAGACAATATTATACTACAGGTATATAGATACATTATTTACTTGCAAACGCGTGAATAGTAAATAATTGTAGGAAAAATTTTGCACAATAATTAAAAGTTCAATCTAGATATTTGGCAACATAGAAGTTCGATGTTTGAAGCACAGGAAAATATAACTATATTACTTTCCATATCGTTAATAAGCAAAAACGGTTCACTTTTACTTGTTTTTATGTCCATTCGCACTAGATAGAGCACTTTGTAGTTCTTTTGGAGACTTCGGCATTTGTTGCAGTCTAACATGATTTAGATTGTTGCGGATATATCGGAAATCTTTCATGGAAATAACATCAATGCCAGAACTTTGGGCCTCCAGTTCTCTCCATATCAGCTTTAGTGGTTTCTCACTGCATAGTTCTTTAGGAAGTTACTAATTTTTTTGCGAATTCTTCCATTTATGATTATGCATCCAACTTTTTGGCGAAAAAGAGGAATTTAAAATATAAATTTTTGCATTACAATTTCTATTTGTGCAACACCGCACTTCCTCTTCTGTCGTTTTTAACACGTGGTATTTACTTAACTTATCATTTTTAGAAATCACGAGCGGATGCCCATTTTCACTTAATATTCTTTCCTCCAAATCGTCTTACTAGGATGCCAGTTAGTGATGAACGAAAATAGTAAAATATTTATCTCTATAATATTTAAATATTTTCTAATAATAATGAGGGAGGTATTATCAGAGTGGACTGTAAAATAGAGTTTTGACCGCAAATCAGTAACAGATTAAATCCATCTCATTAACATAAATGTACCGGTTTGGGTTTTGACCGCAGTTCGAGTGCGCCCCTTTATTTTACTAGTAAAATAAAAAGTGCTACTTTATTGCCTACCCCTGGGGACTACCTGCTAAAGGGAAATAGGTATACTCGAATTTTAGTTTTTCCATTAAATTTTTTTAATTTTTCGCAATCGTACATAAAATCATGTATATGTATAACGCTTACATAAACAGGCTTTATTGACTCATTATTTAAAATTAGTCTTACAATAAAGCCTTACTTTATGAACTTGTTATATAAATAGCTATTACATGACGAAATGTCTGAACAGGTTGCTCAATATAGAACAGTTTATGGATCTAGAGATGGACGTGTGATATAAATTATTGTGAGTAGGAACAAATGAAATAAAATGTGATCGATTTCTTGAAGGAAAATGTTGCATTTCATGATTTTGTAATTTTTAGTTCTGTGAGTCAACCTTAAGGTTATAAATCCAGCTTTGAATATAATGTATTACACTTGAAAATTCTCGAGACATAATTGAGGCTTGGCTTATGCTTCAATGCTTCCAATTATAGTTGTTATTGTGCTTGTGTTTCTTGATCAAAAACAAAAGGAGAAGACATTTTTTGACTATTATTTTATTTATTTTTGTGTCTCTTCAATGTATACTTTTTATTATTAAAGGGTATTTTGTTTGGTGTTGTGAGTGTGTCTTTATAATAAGAATCCACCAAATACCAGAGTAGGTACCTTATTCAACAAATACCTATCTATCTATAATATAGATTTAAAACAATCTATCCTTTTTGCACCACTAATAATAATTATTAGCCTAATTTCATGGAATATAATATAATCCTTAGAAGATCCGTGGAACCTATAGAATACCGGATGATCATTTGTAAGGATTACCATAAATGAACTTAACCTTAAAAACTACTCACACTTGCGCTATTATCGCCGTTTAGTTGTGTCTCACTGAGCAAAGGTGGATCTAAATCAGGAGCACTTCCCCAAGAACCCCTACTCATCATACGATCGTCGTACAAAGAGAATCTGGCAGTTGAATTTGAGGCTGCTTTACCTCTTGTTTTTCGTACCGAGGGAGGAACGTCACCTGGGGTTTTTACTCGTTGGGAGGGGTCTTTCAGTCTGGATAAGTCAGTGGTGGATGAAAAAACCTGAAAGAAAAAAGTTTGTATACATAAGCGCTGTTTTTTCACTTGGTGATCCACCAATTAGCATTGGATCTGTCCATAAAAAAAGAATACGCCCCATATCTTCACTGGTCAGATTTATGAGCTAATTATATTTTCGATTCAGAAACTAGTATTTTTAAAAAACATTTATTTTATTAATTAAAATACAATAGTGACAATCGAAAAATATGTGGATCAAATTGCTACAGGGAGTGCCTGAAAACAAATGAACGCTCCTTACAGGAAAGCGCTGGCTTAAATAATAAATATTTGCTGATCCAAGCATTTTCCTAGGCGGCATGGCGGTACTACCAGTGGAATACCGCTGATTAAGCAGTTTTATATATTTATTAGTATCGACATAGGCGTACGCTTATAATTAACATTGGAAAGGAGAATTATTAGTATAAAGATAACATAGGGTCTTACAATATAACTAGCTTATGATAATTAAGGTAACATAAGCATCCATTTATTTATTTATTTATTTAATTATTTACTGAACGTAATAAACCTAATCTAAATAAAATAAAGTAAACGGTTGCCCTCCTCAACAAATCCCTATTCATAACAAATTCATAATTTTGAATGATCATTTTGTGACCCAATGTTTTCAATGTTGGAAAATTGTTGAAGGGGGTCAAAATTAACACAGAAACCTGTTTACTTATATGTCGACGTTCCGACTTATATTAAGTCATCCTCAGGACACTAAGGTGCTTATTCTGTAACTTGATCGTTGCGTGAAGATTAGTTAACGAACGATTGTTTTCTAACAACAGGCTTAACGATAGTCGTTATAAAGTCTATTCTGTATGGTTGATCGTTAGGCGGTGCCATTGGGAAAGTTTGTAACGATCCGCTACGAGCTACGAACGATTTGGCCGCGTTCACCAGATACAAACGTTGGTGAACGGTTTGCGATTGTTCTGCTGAACGCTACGTTGAATTTGTGTTAAAACCAAACATTTTTTGCAAACAGTCGCCATTTTTGCAAGCCTAATTTCAGAGTATTTATAATTTTCAACACTGTGTTTTGTGTGGTGACCTGTCATTCAGAAGGTGACGTTCTATCATTGAAAAGTTGAATCGTTCAGCAGAACCAAGAGTTTACCCAACATATTCTGTTGGTATTTTCAAACTGTTTACAATCCGTTTTAGTTCTGGTGAACGTAGCCATTGCTTATACCATCATAACCTATATTTCTGTATTTTGGTTGTCGTTGTTCGATTTCCGGTATTTGTGGTGTTAGGCCGGTCGTCCTTTGGATGCCTTTTCGTCCGAACTGCATTCGTCAGAAAACGGACGAATAATTTCGTCAGATTTCGCATACGTGATATCGTTTACTGGACAAGTTTTTGCATTGCGAAGTCAGTCCTAACGTAGTGGAGTAATATGGAGGATTGTCTTTTGGAAAATAATTTTCTTGTTGGACGGCGATTTTTTAAATGTGCTGCGTTAGGTAATGATATCTTAGCAAAACAATTCAGAGAATTTTCAACTCAATTCAACTGCCACAATTTTCTCTACATGCTCATGTGATTAATGTGATATGATTTGTCGATCATCATTTTTTCGATAATCTTCTCAGCAATACAGACAACACACACAAATCGTCAGAACAACTGCGAAAGCTGCCATTTTTTTCGGATCAATCGCAATATGTTTTCTTCCGAATTCGCACGAATAATTTCGGATACAATGTATGACCGTCATTAGGTTTCACTGAAATGTGATCATTCGCACTTTTTCGTCCGATTTCTGACGAATGCTATTCGGACAATAACGCAGCCAAAGGACGACTGGCCTTATTGAGCAGCCAAAATTTCAATAAATAATGGAGGCAAAAGGTGTCAAAAAGGCAAAGCAAAGCCACGTGCTCCTAAAACAATTAGAGAGCAGTTTAATTTATACCTCAAGAGTGCGTTCGAAAAAGGGTTAAATTTTACCCAAGGGTGAGAGTGGGTATATGGTCACGTGGTCAGAAGAGTAAATTTTTTCTGGTGTGTTTTCGGACGCACTGATGTATAATTATAACCTAACATATAAAAACATAAATAATATTTAGGCCCAGTGTTCTGTGCATTTAATTTATCAGTCCGTACCTATTTTATCAACTTCCGAGAAACGGAAAATAAAATTAATAATTCCCACTAATCTGAAAGTAATAGATTTAAATGAAAAAACTGACAATAATGACAGGAGTGAAATTTACCCAGCGGCAGAGTTGGTTAAGAAAGAGTGCACACTGGGTAGCACCCCGGATATTTTCGAACTAGCGTGAACGTCAACCGGAGTTTATACCAATTCATTTTCGAACGGCTGGTGTGCACTCGGTGTGACGCTCAGGGTGATTTCGAACGCACCCCAACAGTAACCACTTTATGTAGAGCCCTGCTGACTGCCGGTTGCGATAATAAGCAATTGAAATAATTTCCAACTGATTTCTTATAGCTGCCATTGCATTCAAAATAGTCTCCGTCCTTGCAACAATATCAATACTGCAGTATTTTTCCACTTTCACGTGGATTCACCACTGATTTCACTAGCAAAGATAACCCCAATAGCTGCCGTTAAATAACGATCAAAGGTCCGACCGTTATTTACCGATTTTCATTATTTAACGTGATCGTTAAGCCTTACAGAATAGGCACCTAAGTCTAGGTTTCTTTGGTTAAAATCCTAATAAATAGATACATTTAAAAGGAACATAAGTGAATACTTATTGATTGTCCATGCATATACCTACGTCTTAAGTATTCACTTATGTTCCTTTTAAATGTATCTATTTATTGGGATTTTAACCAAAGAAACCTAGACTTAGTGTCCTGAGGATGACTTAATATAAATCGAGACGTCGACATATAAGGTACCTGACCCAAATAAGGCCATGTGCCTAATAAGGCCAGTGCCCTTTATTGCTCAATATTGAATCCCATTTCCAAAAATTACAATATTATTAAAAAAGAAATCTATAATGGAAATCAAAAATAATTGCAAGGGTTCCTAACAACTCGTCATATGTTGAAAAAAAAATATTGTACAATTTGCAACTTGGGAAAGCTCGAAACAATAATGCATATTATAGTGGAGTGTCCTATATATCAATGCTACAGATCGCCGACAAAAACAGATTTATTTAAAACCAATGAAGATTTTATAAACTTTCTCAACAAACCAATCAGTGAAAAACCAGCAAAAGTTCTATGTCGCTTTTTAATGAACGTGCTAACTATGCGAGCATTTATAATGTTTGAATAACGGTGGGAAATGCAAGACCACTGCTTTCTTGATTTTTTATTTTTTGTTTCTCCTTTTCTTCTCCTTTTTTTTTTTTTTTCTTTTTCTCTTAAGTTAGGTATTTGTCCTCTTCTCTTGATCCTTAAACATTTAATTTTATTTATTTATTTATTCTTTCTCAAGTAAATGGGTAGCGTATGTTATTTTTTCTTTCTTATTTAATTGATATTATTAATTATTATTTATTTTTAAGTATAAAGGGGTGGCCCTTGATTGGGATTTAGTTGTAGGTATAATTTGAAAAAAAACTGTAAGACTTAACTTTCTTGTTATATGAGTTAATTTTCATTAGAAACAATAAAGAATTGAATTGAATTGAATTGAATTGAATGTTGAAAAATGCCCAACTACATATTTCATATGTCACGTTATAACTTTGAGGCTGGAACTGAATTAGCTTATACATGGTCCCAACTATTTCATAGGGACAGTATTGCTATATCGGGAACTGTTAAAGTTACGAGGGCGTTTAAATTAGAAAAAACTTGCCATTTTTGAAGAATATTAAAAATATATTTTCGTGGTTGCCAAATTTCTATTACTTTCGCAAATACAGGGTGATTTTTGAAAATTAGCGAAAACAATTTTATCGAATATTTTAAAATCTATTGATTTTAGAGACATAGTTTAAGTTCAAAAGTATTATTTTAATTTATTATTCTTCAAAAATGGAAACTTTTTCCTAATTTAAACGCCCTCGTAGCTTTAACCGTTCCCGAGAAAGCAATGATGTCCCTATGAAATAGTTGGGACCCTGTATACGTGTTTATAAAGTAAATGGAGCGGTTTTATTTTTTAAACGGACATTTATGAATTGAGAAAGCTACAGAGTAAGTACAGAATAATATCTTTGCTAGATTTCTAGTTACAGACTTTTTTTTTATCAATTTAACATGTTCCTAATAAGGCCATCATACGAAAAATGTTCAATTGGCCTCACATTACAGGTTTTTTTTTAAAGAATGTGTCATATTATTACCTAAGTAATGTTTTTTGAAATGCCTGGAGTCTTACCAAGCAAGAGATGCTGCGGTTCATTTGTCCTAGTTGTATGTAGACCTATTTGGATCACCATCTCAGGACTTGAAATGATTGTTTTTTTTAGGAATGCAGCAAACGTAAAAGTTCTATTTTGTGTACTATTTCTCAAATAATAATATTTTTACACAGTTCCTGTTGGCAACATGGCGGGTGATGAAGATGCAGAAAAGAGCTCTTCAAAAAATTGCAAATATTGCCAGAAATCTGTTGTTAGTACTATTTCATAGTGTGTTAACTGTGAAGGTGTATTCCATACGTCCTGTGCCCTTCGGGTGGCAGGTTTGGTAGCAGTGGGAAAAAACAATCAGTCAAATGTTGTTCCAATGAAGTTGAGGTTATGAGAAACGATGCCCGCACCAACGATTTGTTGGAAGCCAAAAATGATATATTGAGAGGCAAGGACACGATTATCTCAGAGCTAAAGGCCAAATAAGCTCTCTTGTATAAAAACATACAGTTGCTGGAGGAAAAACTTAATACATTATCCAGAAAATATCAAAAACCAAAAAACTTGGAAAGTCAATGTGGCAACAGTGTAGCAGAAGCAGAAGCAATAGAAGCAGATTGCACAGCTGTTCCTGTTATGACTTATGCGAGAATGACACAGCAAAACAATTCTCCTAACCTACAAATGTCTTCA